TCCCTCCATGTGCCACTGCTGTGCACCAGGACTAGCTCTGGTGTGGAGATCTACCCCCCACAACCCCCCACCCCCTCAAACAAGCATGTTTCAGAAAAGGGGGTGATCCCCTTGCCAGTCACACAGTACATGTTAGTGAAGAACCTGCTGCTGAAATTTTTTAAATTAAAATTGTATGTTTGGATAATTATAGATTCACATTCAGTTATAAGAAATAATACAGAGCCCTGGCTGGTGTAGGTCAGTGGATTGAGCGCGGGCTGTGAACCAAAGTGTTGCAGGTTCGATTCCCAGTCAGGGTACATGCCTGGGTTGCAGGCCATGACCCCCAGCAACCGCACATTGATGTTTCTCTCTCTCTCTCTTTCTCCCTCCCTTCCCTCTCTAAAAATAATAAATAAAATCTTTTTTTAAAAATAAATAATACAGAGAGATGTTGTATACACTTCACCCAGCTTCCCTCAATGATAATGTCTCGCTGAACTATAGTCCAGTGTCATAACCAGGAGACTGACCCAGATACAGTCAGACACAGAGCACCTCCATCAGCACACAGTTTTATCATGCCCTTTTATAGCCACATGCAATTTGTTTTAGCCCTTATCCCTCAACCTCAGGCAACCATTAATGTCTTCTCTATTTCTGTAGTTTTGCCATCGGAACACTTATATACATGGAATCATACAGTACATAACCCTTTGGGATTGGCATTTTCTTACTCAGCATGCTTTCTTGGAACTTCATCCAAGTTGGTGTGTATTAATAGTTTGATGCTATAAATGTCCCTTTAAAGATTTCTTTAGATGCATTCTAATGAATTTTGGTTTAACAGATTTTAGCTTTCATTTAACGCAGGATATTTTCTTTTAAAATTTTAAAAAATTTTTGCCCTGGCTGGTGTGGCTCAGTGGACTGAGGGCTGGCCTGTGAACCAAAGGGTCACCAGTTCAATTCCCAGTCAGGGCACATGCCTGGATTGTAGGCCAGGTTCCCAGTAGGGCGCATGGGAGAGGCAACCACACATTGAAGTTTCTTTTCCCTCTCTTCCTCCCTTCATCTCTCTAAAAATAAAGTCTTTAAAAAAATAAAAAAAATTTAATTTTCATTTAAAGGTGTTTTATTTTTCAAAAACATTTTACTTTCAATATTATTTTGTATTGGTTTAAACTGTATAACCATTATGCTGTACACCTACAGGTACTTTGTAATATATTTGTGATGTCATCTTTAATACTTATTTATTTATACGTGTGTTAAATTTCCAAATATTAGGGGATTTTCCCAGGTATCTTACTTCTATTGATTTCTAGTTTAATTCCATTATGCTTAGATAAGTCCTGTATATGATTTCACTACTCTTAAATTTGTTAGGATTTGTTTCATGCCCCAGAAGATGGTTCATTTTAGGTAAATCTTTCATGTTTACTTGAAATAATTTGTGTTCTGCTTTTCTTGTGTAACATGCTCTAGAAACGTCAAATAGACTAAGTTGATGAATAGTCTTGATTGGATCTTTTATAGCATTGCTAATTTTCTGACTACTTGTTATATTTGCCATTAATGGAAGAGTATTAGATTTCTAACTATGCTATGGATTTGTTTTCAGTTCTATTATGTTTTCCTTCATGTACTTTGAAGCTGTGTTATTGAGTGCATGCACATTTAATATTTTCACATCTATCTGGTGAATTATCCCTTTTATAATAATGTAATGACCCTCTATAACTACCTGGGGTTGTTTTTAAAATAACATTCACATTATTTTTTTAAATATATTTTATTGATTATGCTATTACAGTTGTCTCATTTCCCTCCATTCACTCCCCTCCACCCTGCACATCCTCTCCCACCCACATCCCCCCCCCCTTCAGTTCATGTCCATGGGTCGTACATATAAGTTCTTTAGCTTCTACATTTCTCATACTATTCTTACCCTCCCCTTATCTATTTTCTACCTACAATCTATGCTACTTATTCTCTGTTCCTTTTCTCCCTCTCTCCTCCTTCCACTCCCCTGTTGCTAACCCTCCATGTGATCTCCATTTCTGTGGTTCTGTTCCTGTTCTAGTTGTTTACTTAGTTTCTTTTGGTTTTGCTTTACGTGTGGTTGTTAATAATTGTGAGTTTGCTGTCCTTTTACTATACATGTTTTTTTTAAATCTTCTTTTCTTAGATAAGTCCCTTTAACATTTCATAAAATAAGGGCTTGGTGGTGATGAACTCCTTTAACTTGACCTTATCTGAGAAGCACTTTATCTGCCCTTCCATTCTAAATGAAAGCTTTGCTGGATAGAGCAATCTTGGATGTAGGTCCTTGCCTTTCATGACTTGGAATACTTCTTTCTAGCCCCTTCTTGCCTTCAAGGTCTCTTTTGAGAAATCAGCTGACAGTCCGATGGGAACTCCTTTGTAGGTTACTGACCCCTCATCTCTTGCTGCTTCTAGGATTCTCTCCTTCATTTTTACCTTGGGTAATGAAATTATGATGTGCCTTGGTGTGTTTCTTCTTGGGTCCAACTTCTTTGGGACTGTCTGAGCTTCCTGGACTTCCTGGAAGTCTATTTCCTTTGCCAGAATGGGGAAGTTCTCCTTTATTATTTGTTTAAATACATTTTCAATCTGTTGCACTTCCTCTTCCCCTTCTGGTATCCCTATAATTCGGATGTTAGAATGTTTAAAGATGTCCTGGAGGTTCCTAAGCTTCTCATTTTTTTTGAATTCTTATTTCTCGATTCCTTCCTGTTTGGTTGTTTCTTTCTTCCTTCTGGTCCACTCTATTGTTTTGAGTCCCAGTTTCCTTCCCATCACTGTTGGTTCCCTGTGCATTTTCCTTCATTTCTTTAATTGTAACCTGCATTTGTTCATCTAATTTGAGACCAAAATCAACCAATTCTGTGAGCTTCCTGATAACCAGTGTTTTGAACTGTGCATCTGATAGGTTAGCTATCTCTCGGTCGCTTAAAAAGATGAGTTCTGGGGCACTGATTTGTTCTTTTGTTTGAGCCATCTCTCTCTCTCTCTCTCTCTTTATTTTTGGTCTGGTTGCTCCTGTTACAGTGAGGGGCGGAGCCTTAGGTGTTCACTGCAGCTGGGCACCCCAGTCACTAGATTGTGACATTGTACGTAGGGGTGGGGTCGAGAGGGAACAATGGCGGTAGCTCCATTCTCTGTGGGACTTCAGTCCCTTGTCTGGGTTTCTGGGTTGCCCGCTCTGACCTGCTCCACAATCGCTGCCTTACTGGGTCTGCCAGCTGCTGCTTGCGTATTCAGGGTCCACGCGCTGCGATCTTGTGTACCCCAGATGCCTTATGCATCCCCGGATGCCTTATGTGCCCAACTCTCTCTGCTCTCTGTGCTGCGACCCACGCCTGGCTGCTCGTCTCCACCCCTCCTACTGCTCTGGAAGAACAGGTCTACTTCAACTTCTTGGCTGTGCGACTTCCATTCAGATAAATTTTCTATCAGTTCTGGGTGTTATTCTGCCTCTAAATTGTTGTTGTTCCAATCTTGGTTGTGCGTGGAGGTATGGTGTGTCCACCTATGCCTCCATCTACATTCACATTCTTTATGAATTATAAAAATAATTTTTGTTCAAGTCTTTTTATTTTATTTTATTTTTTATATTTTTAAAGATTTTATTTATTTTTAGAGAGAGAAGGGAGGGAGATAGAGAGAAAGAGAGAGAAACATCAATGTGTGGTTGGTGGGGGTTATGGCCTGCAACCCAGGCATGTACCCTGACTGGGAATCGAACCTGCGACACTTTGGTTCGCAGCCCGCGCTCCATCCACTGAGCTACGCCAGCCAGGGCTTTGTTCAATTCTTAAAATTTACAAAGTAGGAAAATCACCACAGAAAAACCCTTTATAATCTCACTGCCCCAGTACTACCACTCACATTTGTCTTCTGCAAATGCACACACAAATACGTTATTTGTTATAAAATGGTATAATATACTGATTATTTTGTAGCCTGCTTTTCATTTATAATATTTTATGAGCCTGTCAGTAATTTTTCGTACAAAATAATTTTTTATTTTTTAAGATGATTTATTTATTTACAATATTTTATTTATTTATTTTTAGAAAAAGGGGAAGGGAGGGAGAAAGAGAGGGAGAGAAGCATCAATGTGTGGTTGCCTCTCATGCACCTCTTACTGGGGACCTGGCCCACAACCCAGGCATGTGTCCTAGACTGAGAATCGAACCAGTGACCCTTTGGTTTGCAGGCTGGCACTCAGTCCACTGAGCCACACCAGCCAGGGCCAGAGTTGTTTCTTCAGGTGTGAGAATGACTTATCTATTACCCATTTGTGACTTCAATGACTCCTGGAAGATGGTTGACTGGAGTTAAAATGTGAATAATAGGAGAAGAGACCATACGGCTGTATGAAATCTCGATACCTGTAGCAGCAGACTCCAGCAATCAAAATTATCTAGATCTAAGCCCTGGCTGGCGTAGCTCAGTGGATGGAGCGCGGGCTGCGAGCCAAAGTGTCGCAGGTTCGATTCCCAGTCAGGGCACATACCTGGGTTGCAGGCCATGGCCCCCAGCAACCGCACATCGATGTTTTTCTCTCTCTCTCTCTCTTTCTCCCTCCCTTCCCTCTCTAAAAATAAATAAATAAAATCTTTAAAAAAATTATCTAGATGTAAAGACAGTAGGGACATGTCAGTAACATGTCAGAGTATGCCTACAAGAAGGGATAGGAAAGTATTGGCCAGGTGTTTTTTAAGCTTTAGGCCCAGATTCTTTGATGAGTAAATGATAGTATAGATAAGGGCATGCCGGAAAAATTTCCAGACAGTATGGATAAGCTTGAATAAAGTCTACCTGATAAAACATGTTGCTTCTTGCAGATTTGTATACCAAATACTCAACTTCTGTTGGCAAAGTATTATCTGCTGTAAATGAAGAAATCTCATGTGGTTCGGTTGTCGGACAAACTGAAATTATGTTTTGCACCAGAGATATGTAACCACTTTTCCTTTTTGGGGGGATTGAGTATGTGGGGACCAGGTGAGTTTACTTAACAACTGTTTGAATATTTCTAGTGCTTTGAAATCCCAGTCAGCACCCTTTGCATGTAGTACTCCGGGAAGGGGTGGGTAGGAGTGGGTAGGCTGTTGAAAACCTGTGGCGCAGCTTCTCTTTTGTTTGTTGAATATCCCTCCAGGTTCCTGATGTTTGACTATGATCCAAGATCTCTGCCAAGTTTACACTTTCACTACCTGACAAACAGAGCTTCTTGCCCCAACACAAGTGACCTTTCAGACGTCAGGAATAATGAACACTCAAATATGTCAAAGGTTTGCTACTGTTCTTTAACAATCCAAAACAAGAAACAGTTTAAGTGTTTCTGGCAAGCTGACATTTCTTTTTTTTTAACTCTCCCTTTAAAAAATATTTTAGTTATTTATTTCTAGAGAGAGGAGAAGGGAGGGAAAAAGAGAGGAAGAGAAATATCAATGTGCAAAAGATACATCAATCAGTTGCCTCTCACACACCTCCTACTGGGGACCTGGTCTGCAACCCAGGCATGTGCCCTGACTGGGAATCGAACCAGCAATCTTTTGGTTTGCAGGTTGGTACTCAATCCACTGTCACTCAGTCATTTTCAATGCAGTGGCCACACAGTACACATGCTCACTCAATGGCATCTGCCACCCCCAATGACTAGTACAGTGAAGTTGTCATTGTTCACATATGTGCATTCTATTCCACTCTCCTTGGCTGCCAGGTTACATCAGTGTTACACAAACCACTCTTGTTATATTAACAATGGCTGGACTTTTCCCAGACAGACCCAGCCATCTGATTGCTCTGATATTCTTGTCCCTCATCAGCTCTCCAGTAGAATCTGACTTTAAATGGGGAGATGAAAGTCCTAAGAGTAGGAAGGAGAAGGTGTATCCTTGATGCCTTTATCAGAGTCTCCTCATCCCACCTGTGGCCCTATTTTCCTTCCCCTTCTGGCTTCTAGTGATTTTGGTTCCCTACCTCCGTCCCATCATGCAAGTTTTAGGCAAGGACTGGGCCCTTCAGTGCCTGTGACCTTTTTGACCTTTTTTGTAATTGATACCTATATGAAACTGGTTATTATTTCTAGGTTCCTTCTCTGGCAAATGGAGAGAGTAGAGGGGTCTGTATTCCGAGGTTCTGTATCTTGGAAAGAGAAATAGGCCTCAGCAAACAGCAAAGAAAAAAAATATATATATATAGCAGGCAGAAGGACCCATCCCTCCTCAAACCTGGTATCAAAACACTTTCATTTTACTCATTTAAGTTTAGTTCTCTTGTAAAGCCTAGTAAGAATCATACAGTCAGTGTCTCATTTAAGATAAACTCAGAGGGGCTGAGGTCAGCTCTGGGTCTCGCAGAGCTTCTTTGATTCTCAGAAGGAAGAGGAAGAGGGTGGTGAAAACAACAATCACTCGTTGGTCATTATGAGCAGTTTCTGTTCCCACCCCTGGGCTGAGACTTTTGCTTTGACAAAGAAAAAACAAACCACAAAATCTTTAATATATTCCAAAGGAAGTTTCAATCAATTGCAAGTTGTGGATTTTTGATTCTCTCTCTCCCTTTCTCTCAAACCTAGAACTGAAAACTTATTTTCTGGTAATTAAATGGCACTTTCTCTTTAAATAATGATGCCAATTACGTTGAAAGTTGTCAGGAAGTTTATGTGAGTCATGTATTGTTTAAAAGAGAACTTTCTGGACCATGTTAAATAATCTAGACGTGCCTGTCAAACAGACACTTAAAATAAACTTCCTCAGGCCTCCTAAATTAAATGTAAGGTCCAAGTGCTCCAATATGATTCAAAAAAATTTATTCAACTTTAGTATATATGGTAGAAAACATGAAACAGGCCTTAATTTAAATCTGACTTATTGAATAACCCTTCTAAATCTTTATAAGATTTCTGGAAATCAGTAAAAGATGTACAGGAAGCAAGCAAATTCCCATTCAGGAAAAAGCTCTGTTCACTATAGTAGGAAATTTTCTGATGATTTCATTAACCCTTGTTCCACCATATCCCAAATTCCTTAGACTGGTGTAGCACAGTATGGAGGAGGCATAACCAGATTTCTAACCTCCTTCCATCAGTTGAAGAGAGCATAACAGATTGAGTCTGAAACTTTCTAACCTGTATGTGGGCTGCCTGAGGGACCAGCCTTTGTATCAACTAAATCAGAAATTAGAAAATATCTTCAGACAAATAATAATAAAAATACAGCATACTAAGACTTAAGCGATGCAGCAAAAGTGGTGCTAAAGGTAAATTTATAGTGTAATGTTTGCATGAAAAACAACAAATATCTCTAATCAACAACAAACATTGTATTTTGTGGGAGTAGGTAGAATAGAACAAATTGAATTCAAAGCTAGAAGAAGGAAATAATGATTAGAGCAGAGATAAACAAAATAGAGAATAGAAAATCAATTTACATAATCAGTGAAAGATCAACAAAAGTAGTAAAACTTCAGCTAGATTGACAAATAAGAGGAAGAACTCAACTAAAATAAAAAATTAAAGAAGGCCATCACTATCAACTTGACAAAAACAAAAAGGATTATATGTGAGTTCTACAAACAAGTGTATGTGAAAAGATTGAATGAATTAGATAAAATGGACAAAACCCTTAAAAATTCTAGAAGTACTCAACATACCAAGATTGAATCATGAATAAATAAAAAATCTAAACAGATATATAACTAGCAAAACGATTGAATCATTAATCAAAAACTTCCCAACAAAATAAGTATAGGACTAGATGGCTTGACTGGTGAAGTCTTCCAAACACTTAAAGAAGAATTAATAACAATCCTTCTGACATTCTTCCAAAAACTGAAGAGAAGGGAAAAAAATTCTAACAAGTTTTTTGAGGCCAGGATTACCTTGGTACCCAAACCAGGCAAAGACCCTTCAAGAAATGACCAAGCCCTGGCTGGTGTGGCTCAATGGATTTAGCATGGGCCTGCAATCCAAAGGGTTCATCAGTTTGATTCACAGTCAGGGCACATGCCTGGGTTGCGGGCCAGGTCCCCAGTAGGGGACATGTGAGAGTCAACCACACATTGATGTTTCTCTCCCTTTCTTTCTCCTTCCCTTCTCTTCTCTCTAAAAATAAAAAAAAAAATAAAATCTTTTAAAAAAATACTTCCTTTAAAAAAAAGGACCAATGTATTGTATGAATATTAATGCAGAAATCCTCAACAAAGTAGTAGCAAACTTAATTCAATAGCATATTTAAAAGATTAAACATTGTGATAAAGTGGGATTTATTCGTGGAATGCAAGAATGGTTACCCATATAAACGTAAGTCAACGTAATGCATTACATGAAGACAATAGAGGAGAAAAAAACAGAGGGCTTTCACAAATTGTTGCAGAGAAAGCATTAATCAATATATAGTACTTTGTTATGATAAAAACCACTCACCACACTAGGAATATAAGGAAACTACCACAACATAATCAAGACCGTATAGCAAAAAACCTGTAGCTAACATGATACTTAAAGGTACAAGACTGAAAGCTTTCCTCTGAAATCAGGAACAAAAGATTCATCACAATTCAACATAGTACTGGGAGTCTTAGCCAGAGAAATTGGGCTACAAAAATAAACAAAACAGATCAACTGAGTAGGATGGAGTCTCCAGAAATAAAGTCTCACTTATATGGTCAAGTGATTATTATTTAAAAAATGTTTTCACATTTAAATTTTTTTTTTACTTTTATTTTTGAGTTACAGTTGATTTTCAATATTACATCAGTTTCATTTGTACAGCATAGTGGTTAGACAATCATATACATTACGAAGTTTTCTTTCAGATATTTGAAATACCCACTGGGCGCCATACTTAGTTATTATGATATTATTGACTATTTTCTCTCTGCTGTACTTTACATCCCTGTGGTTATTTTGTAACTACCAATCCGTACATCTCTTTTTTTCCTTTTTGTTGAATTTACTGGGGTGACACTGGTTAACAAAATTATACGTTTCAGGTGCACAGTTCCACAACACATCATCTGTACACTGTATTGTGTGCTCACCACCGCAAGTCAAGTGTCTGTTCACGACCATTTATTCCCCACATACTCTCCTCCACCTCCCTCCATTCCGCCCCCTCACAATCTCATGAGTTTTCTCTCTTTTGCTGAATTCCTCCAGGCCCCACCCAGCCCACCCCTTTTGGCAGCTATCAGTCTGCTATCTATCTATTAGTCTGTCACAGCTGGCCATGAACTCTAGTATCCAATCAATCATCCCCCAAGCAGTCTCTGCACTGTGGCTGTATACCCCTTTGTGCCAGATACTATTTAGGCACAGAAAAGCAGAACGCTGATCTTGAAGAACATAATTTTCTTTTTTAAATATTTTATTCATTTTTAGAGAGGGAAAAGGAGGCAGAGGGGGAAACATCAATGTGTGGTTGCCTCTCGTGTGTCCCTTACTGGGGACCTGGCCTGCTACCCAGGCATGTGCCTTGACTTGAACTTGAACCGGCAACTCCTCCCCTCACAGGCTGATACTTGGTCCACTGAGCCACACCAGCTGGAGCCGAAAAAGATAATTTACTTGAGTAGTGAGGACATGTATACACACACCAAGACTTAGAAATATCTGTCAGCATAGGGCATTGTCACTGCCTTTCTCAGAGGACCAGTTCTGGAGAAGATCAAAGGGTAGTCCTGGATGCTTTTGTGGTCCCAGGTTTCCTGGAGGAGGGGTGACTTGAGATGAACCCCAAAGGACTGGGATGCCTCAGGTAAGTTTCCAGGGGGCAAGAACAATCCAGGAAGGGGGAACGGGACTTCTCATGGCTCTCTCTGTAGGAAAAGGCAACTTACATATTTCCCAACCACACTTCCTTCTCAGGGAACAAATCAAAATGAGTTTTTTTGGTCGATTCCATTTTTTGAACCACTAGCAGTCAATATGTGGCATCTCATTAAAGCAGAATGTTACATTGCCCTTTCCTTCCCCAATTCCTTGAATGTCCTGGATCAATAGAGAGTTGGCTGAACACAGAAGTCCACTTCATTTGCAAATAATTTCTACGATGATTAGAGACTGCGCAGTAGAGACTGAATGTAGTATGGTGTGATGAGAAGTGTATTTCAGAGTCAAGGCCTTCAACTTCTAATTCTCAGTAACTAGATAACTCTGCGACCCTGGGTGAAACTACCTTCATGGAGTTTTGTTCTCTCATCTAGAAATTTGAAGGTCCTGGAGTTTTTCTCACTGAACCTAGAAGCTCTTCACTGGTTTTTTCAATGCACTGTCCCAGAAGTGCCTCCTAATTAATTAGTGCTGGCCCTTGCCATGTAATATATTTGCTTTCCATGCACTAATGGCCTTTAAGGTTCATTCCAGTGGGGAATTCTTAGGAGATATTTCATACAGAATAGACTTTTCAGTTTAAACATGTGTCTATCACCAGATCATAGTCCTGTACTGCATTAGAATTCATTTTAAAAAAATCATGTAATCATTCTGCAAATCGTGCATTGTTACTGCCTAGGAATTATTTTATCTTATGAGCAATAATTTGTTAAATAAAAAATTAAAATGTACCACATCTTATCATAACTGTGTTTCGAAACATCTTCCTTTTTAAAAAAAAATATACCAGGGGCCTCAAAAAACAGGAACTAGACCTTTTTTTCAACCTATAGAAGCCCTGAGAACCCCAGGAGTTCTCTCTCTCTCTCTCTCTCTCTCTCTCATTAGGCTCTTTAGCAAGATCTGCATGCATTGCCTTCATTCACCTTGAGGTCAGTCCTCCTTCTGTGACTAGGTTGCTGTGCAGCTTTGGTAAAGTCACTTCTCATTTGCCCATTTAAAGATGTTGAACACAGCCCTGGCTGGTGTGGTGCAGTGGATTGAGCACCGGCCTGTGAACCAGAGCGCCTCCAGTTCGATTCCCAGTCAGGGCACACACCTGGGTTGCAGGCCAGGTCTCCAGTAGGGCGCATGTGAGAGGCAACTACACATTGATGTTTCACCTCCCCTCTTTCTCCCTCCTTTCCCCATGGTAAAAAATAAGTAAATAAAATCTTAAAAAAAAAGAATGTTTAATAGGATGGCCTATCAGAATCCTTCCAGATTTAATATTATTTTCTTCTTTGAGGTGTAAATAATCAAGTATTGTATTTCTTAGGGGAAAAGATAGCTGGACAGCAGAGTGCAAGTCCCAGGACGGATTCAGGGACACTAGCATTTTTATGAGGATCAAAGCTTTATGTTGAAGGGAAGGAACTTTGACAGGTGAGATTTTGGACACCAACCAGCTGGTGAGAAGCAGCTATGTACTGAGGGTCTGGGTCTTCCAGAAGTTCCTGAAATCAAATCTGATCCATGTGCCCTGGCTTGTAGTTTCTTGTGTTCATCCTGAGATTTGATGGGCACTTTGGCTCACTACCAGATTCTGGGAATGGGCTTTGTTTCATCTCATTGTATAACAGATGAAAAAACTGTGTGTCCATAGTATGTGTGTGGGTCAGTGAGAGAGAGAGGGAGAGAGAATGGGTGAAGTCATGCACAAACTGAACCTTGGTAACGGTTTTTGTCAGACAGATTTTTAGTCTACTAAGAGAGATGAATGAGAAAATTCTTTCCTGATATATCTAGACCCCCGTCTGTCATCAGTTGTCTGAGCAGTATCTGCCGTGGGATTACGATAGCTCTTTGAATTTGATGAGTAAGATTATCTTTGACTATGATTATCTTTTGACTGTGACCATCTCTGCATTGGCCTCAAATGGGGCCCATGGGCAGCAGTCAGACTCAGTTATCTCTGGGTCAGCCTGCACCGTTCCTCCTGTCTGTAGTTAAGACAGAGACAGTGACGATGCACTGTCATCAATGAAACCCCAGTCTAGTGCTCCAGTAGCACTGTAGGTCCCCTACTTTCTTGGGGAGAACAGATTTTATTTGCCTCTCGATAGAACAACAATCAAGTTGCTTAGCATTTCTTAATGTCCTCATTTGAAAATTAAAGATGAAGCATCCTTACAGGAAGCCGTGTGACATAGCAGAAATGTATTCTGCCTTGGATGTTAAGAGACATACATTTTTAACCCTGGCTCCACCATCAAATAGCTACTTATAAACTCCTATGCAGGTTACGTGCATGCTCTGGCTTTCATTTTAGTTCTTTGTGATAGTTGTCCTATTTATCACTCAAAGTTATTATTCTATGAAAATTCTGACAAATTAGAAAGCACTACCCAAAAGTACGGTGATGTAATGATGGTCTTACATGGTTATAAGAGAAATGACTTTTCCTGGCTGGCATAGCTCAGTGGATTGAGCGCGGGCTGGGAACTAAAGTGTCCCAGGTTCGATTCCCAGCTAGGGTACATTCCTGGGTTGCAGGCCATAACACCCAGCAACCGCACATTGATGTTTCTCTCTCTCTCTCTGCCTCTCCCTCTCTCTCTCTCTCTCCCCCTTCCTTCCCTCCCCCAAAAATAAATAAATAAAATCTTTAAAAAAAAAAAAAGAGAAATGACTTTCCACTAGCTAGAATAAATGTATTGTTTATGTTACCACAAGTGTGATATGACTAACTTTAGAAAAATTAGACCATATAAACAAGCAAGAAGGAAAATAACCTCCATATAGATAACCACACTTAACCCTTTGGTATCTGTATTAGCTCTCCTGATTCTGAGGAAAAAAATTGATACATAATCACTTTTCTCATATAGAAATGTGATCATACCATATATTATTTCATACTGTTTCATTACCACTTGAAACTTCAGCATGATTGTGTTTCTATTTCTTTTTTGTTAAGTTTTTGTGTTTTTTAAAAAATTTGTATTAAGATTTTATTTATTTATTTTTAGAGAGGGAAGGGAGAGAGAGAAACATCAATGTGCGGTTGCTGGGGGCCATGGCCTGCAACCCAGGCATGTGCCCTTACTGGGAATTGAACCTGAGACACTTTGGTTTGCAGCCCACGCTCAATCCACTGAGCTATGCCAGCTAGGGTTGTGTTTCTATTTCAATAGAGAATTTGGTACCTTAACATTTTTAATGGCTCCATGATTTACCATTGTTGGAACTTACCATAATTATTAAGGAGTTTTAAATTGTCACCAACTTTTTGTTCTGGGGTAAATAATGGTTTTACAGGCCCATTGTATGCTGTTTAGGGTGGTTTGAATGGTTAATCCTTTCTGTTCATAAAGGACACAGAGTGCGGAATCATTTTTATAATCTTCTATCTCAAACTTGTGTTATTGATGTCGTCTCTGCAAAATGCAAATGTTTATTGCAGCGATTTGCAGCCTTTTTCATCTCATGGTGTACATAAACTAATTACTAAAATTCAGTGGCACGCCAAAAATGTATTGTATTTTTTGCCAATCTGACCAAAAATAGGTATAATTTTGATTCACTGACATGGGACTGCTATTTTTGTATTGGCTATTGTCATGTGTTTATTTTATAGTCTAAGGGAAAAGATGTCAGTGCCACTGACTAAATAGTCAGTTATTACATGTTTTAAAAATTATTGTGGAGCACTGGTTGAAAATCACTGATTTATTATCATCCAGGTTATTTATTTTTAGACAGAGGGGAAGGGGGGGTGGAGAAAAACAGCAATGTGAAGGAGAAATATAGATTGATTGCCTCACATGCCTACAACCCAGACATGTGCCCTGCCTGGGAATCAAACCAGCAACCCTTCGGTTTGCAGACTGGTGCTCAATCCACTGAGCCACACCAGCCAGGGCTGACAGCATGTTTGATAGCAGCTCTGCACCAAATAAACAGTTGGGCTTTGTACCATATGGGATAGATGCTAAACAATACATCTCATTGATCTTGCTTGCGCAATTCTTAATGCCCACAAAAAATGGTAAGCACCAGAGAAAGAACAGCTTGACAAAGATGGAGATAATTCAGAAAAGATGATCTACAAGCAGTGTATAGCTTTTTAGTGGCTAAGGCAAGACTGCGTAGTGTCCATGGAGGCTGTAAAACACAGTGGAGGAAGCACTGCCAGAAGTCAGGAAGGAAATTTCTAGTTCCAATCTGTATGCTAATCTGTCACCAAACCTGCAAAAAATCACTTACCAGAAAGGGACTTGGTTTCACATCTGATAAATGAGGGAGGTGGTAATGATACATGATGAGCTCCCTGAGTTGAAAAGCCTCAGAATCTCTGAAGGGCACAACGTGTACGTGCATGTGGGCTTTTCACAAAGAAAAAAATAGGCAACATGTGTGAGACTGTGAAGACTGCAGGCCTAGAGGGTCAGAATTTAAAAAAAGGAAGGCAGATTTTAAGAAGTCACAAGAGATTAGGAGTGAGTCAGTCTTCCAATAAAAGTGGCAACAATCTTGTTACTTGAGTCATGCCAATCTGGGCTTCAGAGAAGTGTGGCAAATCTCTAATCTCTCTATCTCTGTTTCTCTTCGGTTACTCAGATTCACAGCCTGTCTGTGCCCATGGCACGTCTGCGACTTTTCTGCGGGGGAAAGGCTGATCAAACACACAGATGGTGCAACGCTGAGAGGGAGAGGTAATATATTTGATGACAGAAACAAGATATAAAAATTCATCTTCAATATGGATTTTTACTGTGCCTGACTAGTGTGCATGGTGGGAATAGGGAATGAATAAAGGTAAGAGTAAGAGGTTCTTTATCCTTTATCATTATTATTCATTAGTATTTTACCTCCAGGATAATTAGGTCAGATAGTCTCTTGGTAATAAAATCTGTGTGTGTGTGTGTGTGTGTGTGTGTGTGTGTGTGTGTGTATGTGTGTGTGTGTGAGAGAGAGAGAGAGAGAGAGAGAGAAAAGTTTGTTTAAATCTGGATTATTTCACCAGATAGGAATTAATGTCCTAAACTGGAGAGTTCTGTTAGTGTTAACAGTAAATCATCAGATTTTTTCCTTTGGATTTCTGGTGGGAACTTGCCCATTGCCTACTGATGTGGGGAAAATCTTTTACACAGCTAGATGATGGCACTGTCTCTAACAAAAACAGTAAAATTTTGTAAATCAGTACTTCTATTAAATTAATTCCTCAGGATGAGAGCTTTTTATATCTAGAACATTGTACTGAAAGCAGTGGAAAAACAAAAGTTTCCCCCTGTAGGACCTTTAAGCATGTTCGTAGAGAAGGTAAAGTGCTCACAAAAGTTATTTTCATGCTACACGGTGGTGAGTAATAAAGGGTAAATGAGAGGCACCAAAAATATAGCAGAGACCATGGGCAGGGAAGGGACAGGTAGTGATGACATTGGATCTGTGATGGTCAGAGCAGCCCTCCTGCAGAAAGAGGGAATGTGCTCTCTATCCCAGTCAAATTACTGAGGAAGCCTGCTGTATATAAAACCTTTCTCTTTGGTGGGGGGTGGCACTTAGGGCTTTCTGGAACTTTCTAATACTTAACAGAAGATGACTTAGGAAAATGGAGAAAGGAAAACTCACATCCTAGAACTACTGACAGGCCTGCCTACCAGGCATACTGTGAAGGTTAATTTTAGAGGGTTTTTTTCCCCCAGTTTTTCCTTTTATAAAGAAATGGTAATCACCTCCTGTTCTGTGTGTCCAGCTCCTGCGTTCTGGTATCAGCAAATGAACCTGAGAATACCCCTCCGCTATAGGTCCGGGAGAAAAGAGCAGGCACCAGAGTTTGGGTATTGAAATAGACCAGGGGGGTCTGTTCACCAGTCGATTATACCCTAGAGGCAGATCCTCAAGGACAAAACAGTCAACCGTGAGCCAACAGTCCCTTCCCCAGCAGTCTGAGGAAACTGCTCACTAAGCGTGAGCTTGCTACGCCCTAGGTGAAAGGACAAAGCTGGCGCCATTGCTACCGTGGCACGGTTTGCAGAGCAGGCCTGTGTCCTTGTGAAACACGACTGCCATTTTCCTCTTTAGGGCTTGTCCCCCGGGCTGGAAAATACTGGAAGCGAGAACACAATGGTGACTAACCGCTCCCCACAGCTGCAGGTAGAAGATAACATTGGAACAAACTGCAGCTCATGCAGAACAAACCCAAGCCTCCTGTGTGACAGCCCCCAAGAGCCCAGGGGCCGCGCAATGGCGACCTCCGCACCCCGTACCCTTTTATAATCCAGTTATAATACAATAAGAGCTCAAGGTCCTCATCCCTCACTGCTGCTGTATCTCTCCATGCCATACCCCTTCCCCTCTCGGAAAGTGAATAAAACTTTGCTTGCTGCCTTTTGTCTCCGTGGATTCTTTCACAGCTCGTATCACCAATCACCCTAATGCTAGCAATTATACTGTCAGGCAGGGCAAGCCCCCACTGCCTGCCAAACCTTGCACTTTAGCAAGAATTGTATCTTCTGAAAAGTGTTGATGAGCCCTAAAATAAGTAATAGTGCATTTTGAGAAACTGCTAAATATGGTGTAACCAGGGAAGTATTTCCGGAAGGATCATGGCTATGGATTCTCAAACGTGTGATAGCACACTGTTTCAGTTTCTGATTTTCAGGTTCTTCCATGGGCTTGGCCCCTGAGCCCCAACTCCTTGCAAACTCATACTTAATTCCTTCCTTTGCCCTAGCAGAAATAGTCTAGAACCAAGAGTCCATGAATGTTTGCACGAGTTCCAGCTTTATCACAAGTCTTGTTTTTCCATCTGAAAAATGAGTGCCCAGCTCTGGTGTGTTGTTGTGGTTGTGAGTGTTTGCTTGTTTCTAGAAAACTGCATGTGGACCTCAATGGGCTGTACACACATGAGGCAGGGATGTTATTATTTAAACTCTGTTGTGGAGGCTGGCAACATTTGGAATCTGCTTTTAATTGAATAGTCAGTTTGAAAAAACTTGCTTCTAGAATAAAAGTCCTTACCTCAGGGAAAAGCCTACTCTTGTTCACTGTCTGTTTCTTGTGTTCTCTCCCTCCCTGCCTACTTCTTGCCTCTCCCTTTTTCTCTCTTTCTCTCACACACAGAGTGAAAAGAAAGGACAAAAAAGAAAAAAAAAAGCTGTATATCTTGGTATGGACGTATGGATACCCAAAGAACTTTCAAATTTCACGGTATGAGATCCTTAAGACTCTTACTGTACCTTGACCTTCAAATTTTAATCTGTTTTAATTATATGTCTGCTTACTTATGTATATAGCCTGCCTCCTTTCACAGACTATTTAAGCCAGCCAAGCTTTAACTTGTTCAGAACCTTAGGTGGTGTTCAAACCAACGAAGACTGCATTCCTCAAGTCTTCAGAAGGAATATAAAAAGTTGCTAAGTTATGCAGTGAAAATACAAGTATCATTTTTTCCAGATTACACAAAGTTATTAGCAGTGGTGATTCAGATATTTCCTGTGAAATACGCTGTGAGAAAAATTTATTACAGACCCATGTAGATCGAACAGTTTATGCCCTGCTTCCAGCTAAAACATATTACAAGGAATAAGAGATAGAATTCTGCCCTGGTGCCATTTGGGCTACGCAGACCGCAGTGGGAGAGTCTCTGGTTGGAATCGCCACCGTCCTGTAAGTATAACACCTACTTTTTAAACATGTCTGCATTAGAAGCACTGAGCATGTCTTTCATGCTGACAAGCAAGTATACAGGACCACTTGGGAAGAAAAATCTGTAAACAATTGCCAGCACATGGGGACATAACTGTTGCCTTACATTTTTGGACTCAGTGTTCTCATTGAGGACTTAAGTCTTGTTACTTACCATTGCTAGTTACCAGATGTGTGTGTGTGTGTGTGTGTGTGTGTGTGTGTTTTCTTTCTGACTGGACTCTAAACTGATTGACGGTAGGATACCATGTCATTATTCTGCATAATAATGCAGAATATCAGTATTATTTGTTCTGTAATTACTGCAGATTAAAGGTTATATTTTAAATAGTATAGCCATTCTTACTACCTCTGGCCAAGGCCATAATTTACAGTTCATGTGGTATCGTTTGTTATGTGTAGATAGTCTGACTTGAAAAAATATTAACTTGGCCTCATCATAAAATGGTCATAAGCATTTCTTATTTTTCTGGAAGGTTTCTCATGATTCAACTTAACAACTATAAACAGCGTAGATGAACCTGATCAGATTTCAGGTTGCTTTTGATAAAAGTCATATTTTGCCTTTGGTGTGGTTGGGAGTCACTGAGTTCTACATCTTTCTGAGGTAGCGTGTGATTCGATATTTGCACGCATGCACTCACACAAGGGACTTTGAAGTGGCATTCCTGGCCCAGATAAAGGCAGATGGCTGTGTAGAGGCTTGTGAACAGCGGTGGTCTGACTTAATTTCCTGTTCTAATGCAGTTCCCTCGGAGTATTAGTTATGGAATCCCCTTTTTGTTGTTCAGAGGCATACAATGTTTATGATTTTTTGTGCTTGGGAGAAGCTTCTATTGTGTTTTTGTTTTGTTTTGTTTTTGATATGGAAACAACAAATCTGGCCATGCCTCAAATGAACAAAGGAGGGAATGGGAGAAAAGAAATATAAGTGTGGTCTGTTAAAAGTATCTCAGGCATTACTTTTCCAAGGTTGCCTTTTGTGATACAAGTCCTTGTCAAGACAGTGAGAAGGGATTTTTTTGGGGGGGAACTTATTTACCTTTTTGTTACCTTTATTTTTTAAAAGATTTTTTAAAGGTTTTGAAAAAGATTGATTGATTGATTTTTAGACAGAGGGGAAAGGAGGGAGAAAGGGAGAGAAATATCAATGTATGGCTGCCTATCAAGTACCCCCCTTACTGGGGACCTGGCCCACAACCCAGGCATGTGCCCTGACTGGGAATTGAACTGGCTACCCTTTGGTTGGTAGGCTGGCACTCAATCCACTGGGCCACACCAGCCAGGGTTATTATTGTTATTTTTTAAGCTTTCTACTTGACAGTATTTCATATTGTACCCAGTAGCCTATCTATATTCCACTTGTAAGTTCCCTGATGTAGAACCCATGTCTACCACCTAAACATTACCTTGCACATAATGGGCCCTTTATTCATGTTTACTGATTTATGCTGCATTGAAATACTCTTTTCCCCTCCTCAATACAGTGGGAATTGATACAGTCAGTTAAGGAATTCCTTCTTCAAGTTAGAGCTTATGGCATAATAGGGCTCTTTACTGCTTTTACCCAAATTATATACTGATAAAATTTAGTGCGCTATTTTAGATGGACCAGACAGAGATTTTAGGGAAGGGGGAACCTTTTGAGCCACTCTTTAATCAAATCACATGGGTTATCGCCAGAGCTACTGGAAAGCTTCTGAAACCCCACCAAGTGGAATTTCAGGCACTGTGATAATTAGGGAACTTGGACAGTTGCTTGAGTGAGAAAAGAGAGAGACACGCCTAGAGACCATAAAATTATATTCTTTATCTGGTGCATTGCTCTGCCTATACTTAGTGCTAGCTCTTATTCTCAGGGACCTTAAAAGAAGCCACAAAACAATTGGAATTTAAAAAATTTGTAAGCATTTCAACCAAGCCTAACCATTGCTGGAAGAATCCAAATTTATGGCTGTCTTGAATTTCTTTTCTATTCTCACACAGTGAAGGTGACTGGCTACCCCCTGAACTCTGCCCGATAACAAGAAGAGGAGAAGGGTAAGGGCTGAATACGGGCGATCCACAACATGGAGGACTCGGGCAGGGAATACTTCCATGTCAGTGTGGTGTGATGTGGGAGGTGGCCCCAAAGATTTCTGTGACTGCAAATATTTTTCCCAGACTGGCCAGAGTTCCTCAAATTCAATAGCATTAGTTTTATAGGCTATGTTAATTCATTGCCTTGCAAGAAAGCTAGGGCTAACATGCAGAGTTAACCAGAGAAGAGAAGCCAAGCGCACATTACTATAACATGCAGGTGGCAAACACAAGGCCCATGTAGGCTGAATCCGGCCCTCCACCTTGTTTTATCCAGCCCGGCACCTTGTTTCTACCCGGTGGCAGCGCCGAGCTCTCCCTTAACTGTTCAGGAGTAGTTACATGTACACAGTCCTAATGTTACATTCAACCCTTTGAAGGCAACTGTGAGGCTGATGTGGCCCCCGGTGAAAATGAGTTTGACACCCCTGCTATAAGTAAGTAGATTAGCCATCTATCTGTGTGCCTATGCCTTTACCAGAGATGTTTGAAGGTCATTAATGAGATTCAGTGGCCAGATTTCATTACTGAAAACATAGTGATGTTCATTGTCTGATGAAGGCCATGAATGGCAGTTCCGATGGTTTTCCAGTTTGACTTAACAAGGCTAGAAATGATGTTAAACAAAATACATTGATCTAATTACATCATAATGTTGAATCCTAAATTAACTGTCTTTCGCAGTAGCCTGTAAGTTTGCTGAGAGCAGAAGGGGGTTCTGTTGGTCTTGTACCCTACCTCACCTGAAGTGTCTGAAATAGAGTAGGCCTTTATAAAATGTGAGTTCAATAAATAAATTATAATGACTACATACAAAATTAAAAGTACGTATCATTCAGAGTTAGCAGTTTTGGGGGGACATCATACCTTGGACATTGGCATAGAGAAGGATGAGGATTTTATGGTGTTTATTAAAAAATATGGAATTATGGTGATGAAAAAATTTTTGTAGTGACCAAAATTTCTTTTCTTTTCCCAGAGTTTTCCTCCTGTCCCAGTTACTGACGGTCACTGAAATTATGTAAGTGTATAATGCGTTTTCCTGTTTTGTAAATTTCCATAAATTCTTCTCTCAAATATTTCAGGTCGGGTGCTAATTTCTAGAAATGTGTGCCGACGATGTCCTTGGTAGAAATTAGTGAAAAGTGGTACTTCAGGAATACTCCAGAATGAAAAGACAGAAGGTGCAGAGAGAGGTTGGTGGTGGAAATCATTTACTACTATGGATCTATAGTTCCTATCACCCTGCAATTACCTGTGTACTTGTCTGTCTTCCCCATAGTTAGCCAGACAGGCTTTCATTCGTCTTCATGTATTTACTGCTGCACATAGCTGTTCTCACTGCTACATAAAGGCACCTGGTCAAGGTGTGTTGAATGAATGATTAAGGAACCTAAAACCGATGATGCCCTTGGACATTCATTCATTCATCACAATTTGTGAGTACCTGTTATGAGACTGGTATTATGATAGTCACCTATAATAAGACCCTTTCCTGTCCAAAATGGACTCACTTTTTAGAGAGGTACAAGTAAACAAATAATTGTAAATCCATGAGGAAGAACCATGGATAGATATACGTGAAGAAGTACAGAAACACAAAACACACATACCTAACCCAGCCTGGAAGAAGTAATGCAGAATCTGATGTTTTTCATTATAAACTTTCACTCTAAGTACCATTATTGAACATTAACTGAAATCATTTGTTACCAACTAACAGATTATTGTTAATATGAGGGATTCTCAGGGCATACGTGACAAATAGAAGCAACCCAATGTTTGAACATCTACAGCCTTACAAGCTTTCCAGAATTTCCGTTCCCTAGAATTAGTCAGTTACGGTTGAAAAACTATTAGTAATGAGGGCTTTAGCGGCGGAGAATTAGGAACTCAGGTGAAGAGTAAGAGGAAAGGCATTTCAAGGGAAGGATCGGTGTAAACAGAGTTATGTGGGAAAAAATGACATAGCGTGTGTGTGGATCTTTGAGCTTTTGTGTCTTGAAATGTAAAATTTCAGCCAGAGGGTGATAAAATAGGTCAGGAGAGGTAGGCAAGGAAGCTCCATGCTTAAGAGCTTAGATTATGTATTTTAGGGCATGGACAGCAATGAGGAACTTTTAGCAGTGAAGTTATCTGATCATGTTTTTAGTATATTAAGCATAGCTCCCATTTATGTAGCCCTTGCTATGTTTGGCATAGCTCTATGGGCCTTATTTGTACTTGAACACAATGAATCCTTACAGTACCCCTATGAACTAGGTACTATTCTTTATATTTTAGAGGTGAAGAAGCCGGCACAGGAAGATTAAGTAACTTGTCCAGTAGCACACAGCTAGTAAATGGTAGAGGCAGCATTTGGGCTGTGGCTCCAGGCACGTAGCCCACTTCACTTTTCAAGTTGAAGAGCCAGTTTGGATTGCAAAAGACCAGATAAGCAGATAAGCAGCTGTTGCCATGATCCCGGTATGAATTGGTGAAGTCCTGAACCGGGGTAGTGGAAGTAAAGGTGGAAAAGACAGAAGAGATAAGGGGGAAAAAGTTTAAAAAGTGTCTATAAGGTAAAATTGGAAAGATTTTGATTGAACACAAGCCTGGAGAGGACAGTGAAAAAGAAAGGAGAGTCAGAAGTGACTTAGAGATTTCTCTGGGTTGAAATACCTTTAAGACAGCTAAGTAGAGAGATCTAGCAGGCAGATGGATCTTTGGCTCTGAAGTTTAAAAGGCACATCTTTTTTAAAATGGAATGTATTGGGGTGACGTTGGTTAATAAAATCACATAGGTTTCAGGTGTACAATTCTATAGCACATCATCTGCATGCCGTACTGTGCTCACCACCCCAAGTCATCCATCTCCTTCCATCACCATGTACCCCCTTTACCCTCTTCTGCCTCAGCCCACCCCCTTTCCCAGTGGTCATCGCCATATTGTTGTCTGCCTGTATGAAGCGTTCTTTCTTTTTTCTTTTTTTTTTTTCATTGATTAATCCCTTCACCCTTCTCACCCTGCCCCTTACCTCCTCCTTGCTGGGAGTTCTCAGTCTGTTCCCTGTAGTGGAGTTTGTCTCCACTTTGTTAGTTCCGTTTGTTCATTAGATTCCACATACGAATGAAATCAGATGGTGCTTGTCTTTCTCTGCCTGGCTTATCTCACTTAGCGTCATGTTCTCCGGGTCCATCCATGCTGTCACAAAAGGTAAGATTTCATTTTTTTTTTTTTGATACAGCAGGATAGTACTCCATTGTGTAAATGTACCACAGCTTTTTTATCCCCTCATCTACTGACACTTCTGTTGCTTCCAAATCTTGGGTATTGTGAGTAAAGCTGCACTGAACATAGAAGTGGATATATTCCTTTGGGTTAGCGTTTTGGGTTCCTTCGGGTATATTCCCAGAAGTGGTTTCACTGGGTCATAATGAAACAGGGTGCAGCCCAGAGGGGGGACCCCAAATGGGGATTTGGAATGGGGTCCAGAACTCAAGGTGTCTAGGAAATATTAGAAATATATAGAGGGTGTCCTCCCCCCTGCCCCCCAACAGGTATGAGTTGGGGGGAGGGACACATGGAGTAGGAACATGCAGAACTGTTTTGCATAGAACAGCTTTGCAGCTAATCCGTGGTATGGTCATTTAACATATCTGTAACCTTTAACTGGTTTCATGGATGTGTTAATTAGCTATGGCCATGCCTTGAGCCAGGGGAATACAAATGACTTCCAGCCAAGATGTAACTGGGGGGCAGCTCCCCCTAGTTACAGCACCTGCATGAGAGCTTGGAGAAGATTGGCTCTATGACATGGGGCCACACCTGCCCAGACTCACGATGGCAGCCCAGTAAACTTGGAATAATACAGGAATGCTGGCAGGTGTAACTGATTGTAGGAGGAGTTGGAAATGGGGGTACAGAGGAATGTTGGTGCAGGGATTTAAACCCAGACTTGGCAGCCATGTGAGGAGAGAACCACACAGTTTTGCCAGAGTGGGGACCCCTGCAGCTTTGGTGAGAGTAAGGACCATGTGACTTTGGGGTGCTCCCTTTTGCCATGTGGCTTAGGAAGTAGGAAAGACTTTGCCTGGAAGAAAAATGACTCTTGTTGGTGGGCCATGAGCAGGTGCCACATGGCTTTGGATTAGCTGGAGATCCTGACGGCAACACAGCTGGTGGTGCCGGGAGCCTGAATCACAGACAACTTTTCCTGCGATATAGTACCCCAGATTAGGGGAGAGGGAGAAGGAAGGACTGTGTGTGTCTGTGAGTATCCTAAAAGGACTTTAATATATTAATGAAGACATTGGGTCACTACTCTAAGTCTGTGTAGCTTTAAATAAACATTTCCTTTCCACGAATCTCTGGCATTGAGAGACGTCTTTCCTCTGGCGTTGGACAATGAGAACCTAGTGGGGAGTTATTGCGGTAATAGTGTATCGTACTACCCTTGCCTCTGTTCTGTAACAATAAGACAGTTCCATTTTCAGTTTTCTGAGGAAATTCCATACTACTTCCCACACTGGCTGCACCAGTCTGCATTCCCACCAACATTGCACAAAGGTTCTCTAAAGAGGTATCTTTTAAGGTAGAAGATTACATAGGAATGTGTAGATAGGAAAAGGAAATGTACTGATGGTGGAATGCTAGGGAACATTAACATTTTTTTAAAGATTTTATTTATTTATTTTCAGAGAGAGAGAGAGAGAGAGAGAGAGAGAGAGAGAGAAACATCAATGTGCGGTTGCTGGGGGCCATGGCCTGCAACCCAGGCATGTGCCCTGGCTGGGAATCGAACCTGCAACACTTTGGTTCGCAGCTCGTGCTCAATCCACTGAGCTACGCCAGCCAGGGTGGAACATTAACATTTTTAGGAGCAAGTCAAGTTCAGGAGTCAGTGAAGGAGGTAGAGAACAGAATGTCAGAGACACCTGAGAATGTGGCATCGTGGGAAGTCAGAGAATAAAATTTATCGACATGGAAGGAATAATTACAAGGGTCAAATGCAGTGAGGAAGTCTATTAAATAAAAGAATTGAAAAAAATACAGTACATTTGACAAGCGATTATTAGGCAGTGAAAGGAGTGCCATTGCAATGTTGGGGGTGGCAGCCAGAGATCGAAACAAGGAGCAAGTGGTGATTCGAACTCATTTTCACCGGGGGCCACATCAGCCTCGTGGTCACCTTCAAAGGGCCGAATGTAACTTCAGGACTGTGTACATGGAACTACTCCTGAACTGTTACGTGAGAGCTCGGCGCTGTTGCTGGGTAGAAACAAGGTGCCGGGCCGGATAAAACAAGGTGGAGGGCTGGATTTGGCCCGTGGGCCTTGTGTGTGCCACCTGTGGGTTAGGGGGAAGAGGGCCCAGGGGGAAGTTGAGGGAGAATTGGTTGGAGTAGAAGGAAAACATCTACCTCTTTAAGCGGTTGGGAAAAGGAGGTAAAGATTGATATGGACTCAAGATAGTTTGGTAGGTAGGGGTGAATGGGTAAGGGAGTTGAGGGAGAAAAAAGGGTTTTAACTTCTTGGATTAATTTTTTACCACTTTCTTTAAGGCCCCTACATAATGCCTGTGTCCTCATGTTCAGTTGATTACTTTGATATCTCTTTCATTAGGAAAATAAGTCTGGGATGAGAAATAACAGTAGAGTTATACAAAGATAAGGAATATATCTTGTCCCAACCATCAAAGGTTCTAAGGAAATGGAAATGAAACCAGTGAGGGCATGTGTGGGTATCAGGGAAGGCTTCATTCATTAGTACGTAGGTAGCACTTGGTACAGATTTTGAAACATGGGTACTGTTGGAGAATGACCTAGTCAGAGAAAATGGTGTGAACAAAGGTTTGAAGTGAAGGAAGCATAATGGAGTGTACTAGGGAACAGTGCATTTTTGATTTTAGTGACTAAGTGAAGAAGAGGGTTTGAAAGTGTAAGCTGATAACATTGGAGATAATCTTCTTAATAGTTTTTCTTTAGAATGACGCCCAGACAGACAGTCTCAGACTGGGAAATATGCGGAGAGACTTTCACG